CATAAGCATTAGCGCAGTTAAATAGCTTATTAAAATATTTGCATCTGCGTATGCCCATGTGATGTCACGATGAAAGAAATTTGAAAAAATTTGAGAAATTCAACTTTGAGGCGATGGCCGTATAACGTTTGCAAAAAAATAAATAAAAAAATAGCGGCATGCACCGAAAAAAAAGGAAAACACCAAATGGTCACATATTAATATAGACAGAGGTATGTTGGTTAATGCATGATAATATGTTCCAGGTGAAATTCTATACCTTTTTGCCACGATCTGCATCATATTCTCCTTCCAGGCTACTGGTACTGCTAGCTGATGTTGTTCCAGCACTTGTTTTGCGTGTGAGCTATCGGTGTTAGTTAGGTGTCAGTTAGTTATTATGGTTGAAGCACTAAGATGTGAATATTGAATTCAAGTTTGCGAAATTAAATTATTACATACAAATGCCATGTGTTCAATTTTCAATAATAATTGTAAGATGTAAGAGACCTTATAAAATCTATACGTTTCTAAATTTCTTGCAGAAAAGTATTTCAATTCCGTATGAATGTATGTATATGTACAAGTTAATTAACCAAGTATCATATGAGAGACGATAAAAAACAATATTATCTTTGACTTTTCCACTGAGTGTTTAATTTCTCGTGTGCAGTTTTTTCATTAAAATTAATTAACTTGCATGTGCATTGTTCAAATTGTTTTGATAATTTTGAAACAAACATATTAAAATATCTAATGCATTCAACTATGTCTAATACATGGCATACAAAAACTTATCAACATGCCATGGCTACAAATATTGTCTGTTTGATTTAAAAATAACAGTGCATAATGATTAATTCGATATTTTTATGAAATATGCTATCTCTTGCTTTTACGTGAACCAATTGGTGTTCTACGATTTCTCCGTTTTATAATATAGTTATGATTACGATGATACTTATAGATTATTGTTATATAATAACAATTAAGGTAATTAATTAGTTAAATTTATTATTATGCTATCAAAACTTTTAGAAAGAAGCTTTGTTTGAAAGCGTAGACCGCAGAAATAATCTCTTCAAAATAATTTCTGATGGAATAATTTTTAAATTGCATGACGTTTCCATGCATCCTCTACTATTACTATGTTCGATTATATTTAAGTGTATTCCTTTTTACCTTTTCTTTCTGTTTTTTTATTGGACTAGGCCGCTGATCTATATGCTCCATGTCAGGAATCATTTCAGGTTCATAGCTCATTGTATGCCTCTTACTTGGTTCTGAACCATAAGATTCAACTTGTTTAGGACCCCCTAGCGCTGTATAATGCACACATACCTTTCAAAATCTTAAAGTGATAACTTTGCGACGAAAGTATCAAAACGGCACTGGCTGCACATTGTGTCTAAAGTTAATAAATATCAAAAGTCTTTTTACCATCCATACTACGAGATGTGGGACGACGGCCACTTAAAGATCTTTCGAATTTTGGAGGTTGTCTATCGATGGGTGTCTTCTTCGTCTCGTAGTGAGTTCTTCCGGAATAACGGAATCTGGATCCTAAATGCGGTAGCAAACCCACTTTCTTTACAGGCTCAGGACTCATAAGTCTAAAAAGATGTGCATATTATTTTACATCAATCCATAATTTATTAAATCGTTGCTAGATATTCACCTGAAGAAAGTATGGTGTTCTACACACACTTTCCATAATTTTTTCGCAGCTCTATGATTAGCTAGTTTGAAACCAATCGTCGACTCAAACTGCTCGAATTCACCTGGCCTGATCTTTATGTAGAAATTATGCCTTTTATAAGAGATTTTTAGTATTTTCGGCCAAGCAAACCTATTGATTCTTAACCGATCCCTATAGACGAGAAGACCTGATGAACATACACCTAACATTATATCGACGCCTTCAGAGTCTTTCGCAGGATGGAGATCAACTCCATACATTGCTAATTTTTTCGCATTCTCGAGATAGTGGAGTTCTGCTTCGGCGGGTGTCTGTCCTCTAAAAATTGGCAAGATTTTTTTTATTCTTCATTAGTTAATATTTACCAACGTCATTCGGTTAAATGGCTAACTAATAAACGAGACTAACTTATGTGTTTTGTGCAGGTCCATTACTTTCTCCACTAACTCCGGAGTTTGATTAGGGGCAAACTTGAAGTCCTTTAAATATGTGCGACCGTGCTCGTCTGGGTCGTAATCTCCAACCTCGGACTGAACTAAATATGAACCTAAAAGAGCGTGAGTCACGAACGAGCACGGTAATCGTCCTGTGATAATATCGTTTCTGATTTGAAGGCATAGTTGATAACGTGTTATGTCCTCTTGCAATTGGGCCGGATCCGGCGGATAAAATTTCACTTCGAAATTGAATTTCCACGGTTCGTCTACGGAGATAAAAAAAAAAAACCAACCAAATTGGTCCCAACATTAATGATACAAGCGAGAAATGGAAAAAAAAAAAGAAGAGAGAAATTTACGTACTTTTCACAAATTTTGCGATTCTTTTATCCAGATCTAACCAGTTTCGTGTATCGTGTCTGTCCTCGTAAATAAGGCCGAAATAATCTTTCTCCATCAGATTCATACTCTGACATATCATGTCAAGTAATTCTTGGCCTTTCGCCTTTCTCTGAAACAGAATCAATTTTTCATCCGGTTCTCGTCAACGTCGAACTTCATGCTTCTCCAAGGGGATGGAAGGAAAATTTGACAGCTTACGTCTATGTGGAAGTCTTTCACAGATCCATCTAGCAAAGTGATTCTTGCAAGCGCTGTTTTGCCTTTGCTCACTGGACTTTTCGTCGGCGAGTTCGTACCGGTGCCATTTTCTGCCGTTACTTCTGGTTGACCACCAGCAGACTTCTGTTCCTCCGGCATATTTCAGCCCTGTGCTAAAACGATTTGCGCGTGTTAATCCATATTATACAGTAGACTTACGTTCCTACCACGCGAGAATTAATCCTCTAAATAAGTCTAATTCGGATTTTACGAGTATTTTAGAATTGTCAGTATTAGACAATGATGTTAAGCGTCATCAAACTATAAATATCTATGATCTATACTAGGAGTAATTTAATAGAACAGGTCCTGCGATTCGACAATGGATCTGAAATCTTTCCTTCTCTCGACACTTAATCAGAAGGATCTTCTAGCAATCGAACAAAAGACAATTCCATATTTTTCTTAAATCAAGCTGAATCATAATGGATACTTGATACGATTGGAGAGAATGATTTTTCAAGAAGCATTTGAAGCATAGAAGGAACGCTAGGCTAGGATCGATATGTCCACTCAGGAGGAGACTACTTCGAGAAGAGAATGGAAGCCACATTTAGACCGGTTAAGGTTAATTGATACGACTCTTATAAATCCAGCTCGTTTACTTTTCAATCGTACCTCGTACTTTCTTAATTGTCGGCTACATCGGAGAAATATCACGCGCTGGTTCGCTGTGTTCGAGTATAGATCCCGTCTAGACTAGAGGGTGCCATGTAGAGAAATAATCAATATTTGCCGGAGCTCTTCGAGTTACACGTACCCCGGTCTATAAAACACCCCTGCCCCCTATCTCATTAACTAAGGAAAATGTGAAGGGAAAAATAACATTACAACGAGGTAACCCTCGGGGTTGGCTATCTTATACACGCGCGTGTAATTAGAATGAAATCTCGTTCCCTTCCTCGTAATGATCTAAATTCGAAATGTTTGCTCATTTTATCGTATATATGTGTACCGTACACGCGCCATGTGACCTCGAGTCGGTAAAAGGAAGACATTGTAGATAGAATGTACTGTTACACCGTAATGGAATGTCCGAGTAGAATCGCAACAGCCCAGAGAGCTTATACAATGTCTGGGATTCGCGCGTGTCCAGACACACGAAATGAAAGTAATACAAACGACGTCGTACGAAGAGTTCGAGAGACAAGTTGCAGTTACGTGCGACTTAGACACGTGCGCGGATTTATCACAGGTCGTTTGCCCTCCCGATAGAACGTAATGTACATCTACGTAAGAGCGATATCTCGATACACAAAGCCAATAAAGCGGCGATATTTATAATGTCGTGCCCCATCGAAATATACGAGCCAGGCATTATCGATCGGAACTCGTGCTTCGCCGAGCCGGATTCGATGGTTAAAGCTTCCGAATAAAAAAAAAAAAAAAAAAAAAAAAAAAAAAAACACACAGAAAGATATTCGATGTGAAATCCTTGAAAAAAACTAAGGGAATTAATCATCTTTCGGAGTGGAATAAAACAGCCGCGAAAATAATATGAACCACGACCCTGACCGACACGGTCCGCCGCTGTTCAAATCAACGAGGCACCGGCCCGTCAGCTTCGAAAAGAGTCCCTTATGCAATGCAGAAGAGCAAATAGTAATTCAACCTCAATTGCATGGAATCAGAGCCATACTAGGACGTTGTTTGTCGCTGCAAATACCATTAGTGCAGCCTTGCCGCGAGAGAACGAGCGGAAAAATGCACACGCAGTGATTCCCCGAGGTTTTCGCGATAGTTTGAGGAGCCCGAGCGCGGCCAATGAGTCACGCACGAACAGGCACACAAAGGGAGTCGCGTGCATTATCATTAAAACGGAAATCACGATTTAACGTTCAATTCTGGCCGAATATCTCGTTACACAGCCACGCAAGCATCGATCCCTGCAAAAGAGTAATCACATAAATCTGTGAGCACTGCTATGACGTTGCGCAACGTTACGAAGCGAACAGCGAACAAAAAATTTAAAAAAAAAAAAAAAAAAAAAAAAAAAAAAAAAAAAAAAAAA